AGACAAGCACAACAGTGAGCCCCCAGGAAGAGGAGAGCAGGAACAGTGGAAGAACCTGGCATCAGCCATTTTCTATACTTGAAAAGTACAGACAGTATGCCTAGCCTTTGGGAACACCAGTATTTGGTGGGCATCCTCAGCACTAGTCAGTGAATGTGGGAAGGACCTATGCTAGTTACAGTCCCCCTGGCTTCAGCAAGCAGCATCACAAACCGGCATTAAAAAAAAAAAAAACATATCAGTACATACCTCATATAGTGAAACTCAAGTGCAAGATCATTCCAGTGCTTCTCATCTGGAGGGACCACCGATTTGAGTGCACAGGGGAAATGCCCCCCCCAGGTATCACACAAATACACCACTCCATACTGCCCTCGGCCCAGCTCACGGCCTAGCTTTGGTTTGCCTGCAGATGGACACAAAATGCTAGTTTGTTCAGCTGTAAAGATATCCATCTTCTCCCCTTACAAATGTAAGGCTCTGTTAAGGCGTATCAAGATGAAACCAAACCAGTAAATAGTTCAGAATCGGGCAAGTAGGCTCATCCTGGGGGAAAGAACAACCCCAAAGACCATTAATTGATCTGAAAACTGGACTGGAAGCAGCGGCAGAGTATGCAAACAGATACAGCAGCAGCATGCTTTGCACCAAGTGCTGAAGATGCCAAAGGGGTCAGAGGGTCATTACTTATTCAGTCTTTTGCCTCATTTAAGACTGCTGATGGAGGGAATGAATTGGTGCCAATGGGATTAGTTTGAGATAGAAACATCAGCAGGATGTGTTGCTTCAGCTAGTTGCATAGGCCTCAGCCTTCAGATGAGCATTTTGGTTGGTCAGAATGAGATCAGACTAAGCTCGTTAGTTTGAAGGGTAAAGTATTCCACATCCCACTACCAAAATGAGAAACTCTTCCTCCACTTTTCATAGTATTTTATACTAAATACTAGTTTTAGCATCTTAGTAAATTCTCTTCACACTCAACAGGTTTGTTGTAAGGATTTTGAAGTGTGCACCATACTGAAATAAGTCAGTTTAAAATAAATCCCCCCAGGAAAAAAGGAAGTCTATAGAAAGCAATACTTCCATGGAATTCTCCCAGGTTCATAGGTTTAAGCCAATACAAGTTAACTATCCAAACAAACCCAGTGTCTGGGTTCTCAAAGCATCTTGCACTAGATGGATATTATCTTCCTTTTCATATGCTGTTAGGAACAACCACACAATTCTTCAAGCTAAGTCAGGGTGCATCAGGTGGAAGTAGATATTGGAACTAGTTCTCATCTGCCAGTACAGTTTACTACAAAAGTCAAAGCCCTGGATCCATGCCTCAAGGCAGGGAAGGATCTCTCTAGAAAAACAGATCAAGTCTTGGAGCTCACCATGTAACAACACATCCTGCAGGGACCTGCTCTCGAGCGAGAGGCGTGCTAGTCTTGGGGCATGGTCCTTCCGCACCTTCAACCAAAGGTCTTCTGTTTTCTCCAGTCTGCCCGAGTGGCCAGCCTCTAGCTACAAAGACAGAAGGCCAAAAGGTCACACTTGGGACTTTTTCATGAAATGACATTACTTAGTCCTATTAACCTTTGCAGGGAAATGCAACATGCAGGACTTGTTTTAAATCGGGGTACCAGCCTCATTTTGGAGTGCCTGCAGGCCAAATCTTCAGGAAGCAGCAGGCTAACACTGTGGAACTCTGCAGACTGCCTTTTAGCTTCCTCGGCTCTAACCACCGTGCAGAGCATTGGCACAAAGAAAATTGGTTTCCTCTTTTCACAGCCCCACAAACCCACCTGGCGCAAAGAGGCTGCAAAAGCTTCATGAGAGCTGTTTAGCCTGGTTCGAAATTGGCTGCAGATACTCTTGGCCAGCTTGGAAGCACTGAGACTCTCAATAGCATCTTGAGCTATTTTCCTCTTCCACTCTGTGGTGATAGCAGGTGGGCTCACCCATGTAATCCGCTGAATAATCTATAAAACAGGGAAGAGGAGCAAGTGAAATGCTACCCTTACAGATGGGACAGATCAAATCCTACCCTCAAGACACCACCTACTTGCCATTCAGAAGAATGATCTTGTGTGCTACATGCAGCGAACACTTGTGGCAGCAGTTAACAAGCTTTTCAGGTTGCCAGAAGAGACCCACCTCAAGTTAGAGTTGGGCAAGGGCTAGGGCCTGGTTGCTGCTTCTCCCCACAGCGGTCTAGGGAAAGCACCTCCCACTAAAGCACCACCTCCCCTTGGCTGGACCTAGCCCAGGGTTGTAGGTTGCCAACACAACTTAAGGAGATTCACTTTCATGAACACTTGCGACAAGCAACTTTGTAAAGCATGCAGAGTTCTTTTGGACCACATCAGACAGTCTTTTAGATTCTGCTAAATTTGTTGTTTTTACCCAACAGTCAAATAAAACATTTTCTAATATTATAATTTAATAATAATTTAACAGCCATATATAAATACACAATATGATAATGGTTTTGACTGTTGGGTAAAAAGCATATATTTTGCAGAATGTAAAACTATCCGATGTCTATGATACATTCTGCAAAGTTCAATAAGCAATTTCTTGCAGTACTTGCAATCCAAACATTACATTATTTGTGCACCAGAAAGACTAGTCTGTTTTAGAAGCCAAGCTGAGGAAGATGCTGAAAGTTCTTCGCTGAATTTTCATCTAGAAGAGCCTTCCTAACATAGAAAACGCGAAGTTTGATTATTAAAACTCCACAATAATCAGGGTGTTTTATATAAACTAAGCAGAGTACTGTAAATAGCTTGTAGCCCAACATTTGCCCTGCAGCAAAGTGTTAAATGGAACCCTGAACAAAAAGGTAGGCATGTTTTAAAAGCCATAAGTCTGAGAATAAATTCCATTTCCACAGCAATACTAAAAGACACAGCTATATCATATTGAACTGCAGTTAGATACAGGCATTTAGGGGTAAAGATTACTAGAGGGTACCAGTAAGCATTACTTCACTGCAGTGCTCCAAGGATGCTTTCCTAGGAAGTCATTTGTATAAATACCCATACCTGTTTGATCTGTTCCCACAGCATCCTGGTAACTGTTGAGCCAGAATGAAAAGTGACTTCAACATGATAGGCTGCGTTTAGTATCTGCAAAGAGGAAAACAAAAGCAGAGAATTCCGGCTTGCCAGATTGATGCATGAAAGTCCACCAAGATTTCACCATTGCCAAAGACAAAAATCCAGTACTTGCTACATCAAGGGATACATTAGGTTTCCTTGCCAGAACAGTACACATTTGGATTTACTTCAACTCCTAAATACAGGAAAAACTTTTCATTGTACATGTTAGGAAAGAGGCAGAAGTCAAGTGAAACTCCCCCACAAGCCAATTTACCAAGATGGAAATAAAAATCATATTCCACCCCTCCTCTAGCTACCACATCCACCCGCTTCAAGATTACCACTTTCCTTCTAAATATTTCACCATGCTATAAATTGGCCTACTTTAATGGACCAGCATTTATCCTGATTCAAGAAGCAAAGTCAGCAGTCAAAGTGTATATAAGCTTAACAAAGGACACCCTGAATATTGTGGTTGCCGAGAGAATACCTGTTTGAGATAATTGCTTGTGATGTGAACCGAAACATCCTGAGACTTCTCCAGGCTCCTCAGACATCTCTCCAGAGTCCCTACAAAGCTTTCACGCAAGTAGTCTACAGAGCTTATCAGTTTGTTGGCAACCGCTTGGTTTAGCCGGGAAATGATCAATTCCTGGATTTGCTTAATACAGCATTTAATGTCCTTGGAACTAACAGGCTCTCCATTCTCAGGAATTATAATGTCTGGAAGGAGAGGAAGACAAAAAAAAAGAAAAAGATTATTTTTGTTCTTAGACAAGAGAAAGACCAAAACCATACTTCCAGCATTAGCTGTCAGTCTGTTGCACTGGTGTTTTGCAAAAATGACAGAATTAGTCCAGACAGATCAGTGCGAGGAAGAGAAACTGAGAACTGTCAGAGCAGAACTTGTTACCTGTTTTTAGTAAAATCTAGAGCTGGAGTAGACAGATGAAGAGGCTTTATATTTTTACCTTTCAGCCAACAGTATATTTCTAAAGCCATTAAGAAACCAGTTATGGACAGGAAAATTCTATGTAGTGAACACTTTTCCGTGCAAATTTGGTTTTTTGTTGTTGTTGTTGTTTTTAATGGTGGGTACATTCTGGCCATTACATCCGCCTTATAACTTCATGAACCCCAGCCTCAATTTATGGTCCCATCACCACAGGCTCATTTTCTGGTAGTTTAGTAACAAGTTAGTACTTGACTTCACTTGAGCAAGTTGAAATTTCAGTACAACAGGTAGTACACTTAAAGTCTCCAGTCCAACTTTTCCTGCACTTTCTGGAGCACATGAATGTTCATATTTAGGAATAAGGCTATCCAGCGTTCTGCTATGAGAATGCAAATCTGAGCGACTTCCCAGCCTGAGCCTCTGTCCAGAAGTCTGCCTTCAGCTCATCTGCTAAAAGCTGGCTCTCCTACAAGCTGTACTTCAGTTTCTCTACAATGCCAGCTTCAATGCCTCTGAAGCGTTTGCTGCTGCGTGTTTGATATTTTTGTACAAAACAGGGGTAAGCAAGGTAGTAAGTTTATTTTTGCATGCACAATGGGTAGTGTTCTCAGCAACAACTTAGTACTTTGAACTTGCGCTAGAGCCCTGTATTGAGATACAAAATTCAGGAGAGTCTGATTTAAGACAAATCCAAAAGCCTAGGTCACCATTAAAACCTCCTACTGAGCCTCCATCTTTCCCACAGCAGATACTTAACAGCTGCTACACAGTCAACAAGCTACCACACCTGGTTTTACACCCTTGAGAAGGCTTAGCTCCAAGACTGAAAAAGCATGCAGTCACTAAGGACTTGGCTATTCAGTACAGCTAACATTCGTGGTGCTATTAACATTTTGCAATGTGATTAAAAACGAATTCAAGCTAGCACAGCAGTTAAAGACAAGACAGGCTCTTTGTTACCATGACTGTACTTGAAAATAAATGAGACATTGCACCACACACTCCAGCCACAGGGCAATTCTAACAGCAATCAGACTACACAGACAAAAATATTAGGTGATGCTGTTTCACAAACTTAATTCATTAATGCTTAGCAGAACGATATTCCCACACCCCAGAGGACTGGGTACATTTTTTCCAGGTTTTAAAACTCCTTGGCATCTTGGATATCCCCCAAGACAGAGTTGGGCAATCATTTTGGCCAAGGGGAGGGGAGGGGGGAGTTGCAGGCACTAAGTCTCATGAGATGACCAGGGCTAAAAGGCAGGGGGTGCATGCAGCAGAGCTCACCCAGACTGTGCAGATGCAGTCCACCCCACCTTGCCGTGCTCTGCATAGGGCTGACCCCCACCTGCTCCTGCCTGCTGGCCCCAACCAGTGTATACCGCTTCCCCCCAGGGCTGCTCCTGGTGCAGCTGCAGCCACCTTTGTCCTGCTTGGCTTCCCCTGCCTCCTACAGCTCCTCCTTCTTCCCCAAGTGGCACAGCAGAGATAGAGCCACAGTAGGGTAGCTCCTGCCCCAGCACGCAGGGCTCCAGCTGCCTTTCACCCACAGGTAGCTACCAGGCAGGCAAAATGGGTGGAAGGTGGCCGGGAGCTGGAACACTACGTGCTGGGGCAGGAGCCACCCAGCTGCAGCTTCCCCCCTACCTGGAACAGTGCAGCGGGGGCAGGAGAAGGAGCTGCCCCTGGAGGCAGGGGGAGCCAAGCAGCACCTGGTGCGGCTGCCAGTAGTAGCTGCACAGGAAAGCAGCGCGTGCTGGCCAAGGCTGGCGGGAGAGCAGCCTGGGGTGCCCTAGGCAGAGCTCAGTCTCATATGGAAAACCACAGGCCAGATCCAAAAGATCAGTTGGCAAGCCACATCCAGCCTGCAAGCTGGTTTTTGCCCACCCCTTCCCTAAAAGCACTCTACATTTCCAACATGAAAGGCAGCAAAACTATTTTCTTTAAGCTTAGAGCTATTTTCAAATTTCATTCCAGCCTATAAGTCATGAAGGGATCTTTGTCAACTCGCTGAGTTTCATTCTCAAGGTTTCTTTGTTCAGAAACCAATGCTACTTCAAGCCATAGCCTAGCAGTTAGAGGGAAAAAGCTGCTTTGCAAGAGATGCTATACATCTGCTAGAGCTAGCTAGCACTGGATCAGCTAATGCTGTCAACTAAGCTCAAAGAATTTACTCATTCATTTTAAGACTACTGAACTCGATGAATTAAAAATCAGACCTTCAGTTTACACACTCCTATCAGAGATTAAAAGCTAGTAACGGCCTGCACTTCACTAGAAGATGCAATTAAAAAAAAATAGATGTGGCTTTCTAAGTGACTGCATGGGTAGACTTCCTAGAAGTTTTGTTGGCCTCTCAAGAATTAGAAGCTAGAATCCATATACAGATTTTAGGTGGTTTAATCTTCCAGCCCTTTTAAGATAAAAAGTCCCCATATGGAAAATAAAGAATTTGAATCCTACAGTTGTCAAGCAGCTGTGTACACCCTGCTTTTCAGTAATCTTGCTTAGTCCTCACTGCCACTCCCTGACCCCTTGAACCAGCTAGGCAAGTATTCTCCCCCAACCTACAATCTGCCCCTTCATAAAATGGCAAAATTAAGGCAAGGCAGTAGGCAATTCCTAGGGCTACGCAGAACAAGTCTGTTGAAGTGAGTTAGAAGCCCGGAGTTCCTGGCCTAGTCACATGCACAAAGCTTAGAGAGCATGGGTTTCAAACCAACATCCGCTCAAAGTCGGCTACAGTGAAAATTACTAAGTTGCTTGCTTCGGCTTGGACAACACAATGGAGAAGGCAGCTATCCTTTCATTACAGCAGCATAGCAAGCAAATTCAGACAGACAGTTTAAGCTTTGGAGCACCCATCCCTCTCCTTCCAAGAGAATACCTTTGAACTCCATATTAGCAGCATCTTCAAGGAGCTCTTCTTTCATGTTGTTTAGAGTTTCTATGATCATATCCTTCATCTCCTCCTGCTTGCGGTTGGCAATGCCCATTAGAGACTCAAACAGCTCGTTCTCCTTCTTGCGAGTGTACTCCAACCTCTTTGGAGTGATTTGCAGGTCTCGTTGCATATCAAAAGCCTGATTGATGAAGATGTCCAGGCAACGGCTGTGCACCAGGTTCAGGAGGGTGGCTGCATCTACCAGATGTTTTTGCAGCACCTGCCTGGAGAAGACACTCAGGAGACGCAGCTTCTCAGATTGTTCTACCAGCATGCTCTGGGCTTTGGCATCAGAAGTGGGTGCTCCACAGCTGCAGTGGTTGATACTCAGGTATTCAAGGTCCATTAGCTGGCAGTAGAGGGAGGACTTCTCATTCTCAACCTTTTTGGGCGAGATGAGTTCAGCGCCCAACTCTGGCACTTTGAAAAAGAAAACAGGTAGAGAGAACTTTTCCTTGATTTCCCGCAGTTCATTCTCATCTGATGCTGAAAGTTCAGCCTCACTGATGGCAAAGGTGATAACAGGCAAAACATGGTTCACATACTCTCCCAAGGTGACCTCAGCAGACTGGAACCCCCGGCACGGGGCCACCACAATATCCACTTCCTGGAATGGAAAGAGAGAGACAAGAGATGAGGTGCAGTCACCATAGACCAGAGGAGAAGCAGCCACAGTCAAAACCCAGGTACAAAGAATCAGGCAAGGACAGTGATTATGGCATGCCACCACACCCTCCAAATATATTACTACCAAGTTGTTAACATGAACCACACCTCAGTACCTTTCAAGCAACCCCTCAATTCAGCCTGTTCAAGGCTAATTCCTGCAAGATACCCAAAATAAGGACAAAAATAAGACTAGTCTGCTTTTCTGCTGGACATTGAAAGCAACTCCAACTTAGGTCTTCCTATGCCAGTTTAAAGACCCTGGCTGCATTTCATTTCAGAAGGCTCCTGTTGCCTTTCACAAATATGAAATGCAGTCAAGCTCTCCAGACTCCGAGACTGGTAAAGCAGCCTAGCTTTTGACATGCAATCCAAATCCGCCATTTCTGTACCCTTCTTTTCACTAGGCCAAATCTGGTGTCCACCCGATATGGATTAAGAGACTTCTTCAGATCAATTAAAACTACAGCGTTCCAACTGGTAGTTTGTTATTTCAGGGGGGGTTTCTTCACACTTTGAAACCATCTGGGATGCAAGTTAAGGGGAGTAGACCTAGTTCAGATGACTGCCTGAACCTCCCGATGCTTCCTACAGGCATACATAAGCCCCATCCTGAAAGGGATCCCTGTTTGGAAAAAAAAGCAGAAGTCCAGCCTTTCTGCCCGATTCAATTTCTGGTTTCATTTTCAACTGACAACAAGTGGTAGTTAGCATCCAATGGCATCTGGATCAAGACTGGAACCACCAACTCCTTCTGCACAAAACTATTAAGAAACTGAGGGCAAGCTACCCAGGACTGCATTTGATCCAGTTACCAAAGAAAAACCAGTTTATAGATGGGCTTTCCCCACATCCCTTCCTCCAGACATCAACACTGCATTAAGTATATCCAAGATCTCAGTGTCCTCACCCTCACTTTAAAAAACAGGCTAGCAAAGCTCATTTCTCCAAAACCATGTTTGCTTACTTTATTTGGCCAGCCTGATGTTGAGACAGGGTTTTAAAAAAATTTCAAGTTCCTGATCAGTGACCGAGTTAGTATTAGAATGACATCAACTTCTTTATTTGGACACCTTTGGGAAAAAGGAATGGAAAATCCTTGCTGACTTCACCTCACTCATTTGTTTGGGGACCTTGAACCTAATCTTAAGAACCCTCCCTCTTTTTCACTGGCTCCCAGTGCTAGCAGAGATAACAGCTGCTAAACCACCGCCCCCATTCCCTACCAAAAAAGTATTCAGACACTTCTGGAGGTGAGGGAAAAAAACACCGATGTATAAAAAACCTAAAACTCCAGGCCAGAAACCTTAAAGTTGGATTTCTTCTGTGTCATTTAAGCTGGTATCTGACCCCAGCTGTAAGTTGATCTTGGGTAGCTCTGACAAAAATCATGCAAATTCCTTCATTTGCTATATGAAGCCTCCTTTGAAACAAACCCCTTCTTCAATTAGAAGCTTGAATTCCAAGTGCTGCTTCCAGTTACTGCCCTCAATAAACTCATTCATTGGTACTACAATTTGTGGTTACTTCATTAAATGTGACAAAGTGAAGTTACAGCGCCACCGGATCCGACAGCAACACGGTCAACAAATCTGCATGCATGCCAGCTGCAAAATGTAAATTGAGTACCACCTCCCCGCAGACAAGTTGGTAACAAACTCAGGAAATTGTGTCCTCTCTCTTCCACAATATTTCATAGATGTTAGGGGCTAGAAGGGACCCTGGAGATGATCGGGTCCAGCCCCCGTGCACTTGGCCAGGAAAGACTGCGGGGGGGGGGGGGTCAGATGACCCAAGCAAGATGGGTGCTGAGACGCTGTTTGAGGATAAAGACCCTTCCCTTCACAGATGGGAAGTGCCAGAAGACAGCCCAGCTTGATAAGACAGTCTAACCCAGTCAGCCAATTCTTGTGTTTCTATGGAATAGATTACAACCCGAAAGTTCAATGCTTGAATTAAACAGCAAGGCAGCGGGTTGCTGTTGTGGCTCCGAGTTAGAAGGCACCGTTAGCTGCCGCCTATATTAGGTATTTGAGCTAACTCTTAAATTACACCATAATTAAAGATGCACATCATGTGGCAGCTGTTTACAGACTAGAAGTCTCTAGGAAGACCTTTACTCTGCAGAGCAGTTTGGATAGGCCTGGATTACTACATTGACAGTGGTCCAAAAGACTTATCGCAGTTACCAACTACTACTATTAGTAATGCTACATGCAGTGGATGTTGCTTATTAATACCAATAAGCATCTGAAACACTACAGAAGATGAATACAGTTGGGTTAGTCACTCATCTGTGTCTCACATACCCCCGTCCCCCCACCACCAGTCTGGAAGATCATTTCTCTTAGTGCTACAGAAAATATTACTTGTGAAGCTACAGGGTAAATTGGGAGAGATGACAATATTTCAGTTTATGAACATGAATTACAACAGTGGGACTTTGCAGTACATAACAGAGGTTTGTAAAAGACAACCCAGAAGGTACTTCAGGTCCTCTGACAGGAACTCCACCCTGGTACTCTGCTTATTTAAAAAAAAAAAAAACACACACTAGGCCTAAATACAAAGCGCTTCCCTGCAACACAGCTTCCATTCTGGCCAGTTAATTGTAGTGCAGTGTCATCATTTTCCAAAAGAAAATAGTACTGCAATTCAATTAACCTGGAACATTTCATGTAGCTAGGCCAAAGTTTAATCTGATTGGGTAGCATTAACATCTAATGCTATGAACAGATTATTTCACTTAACAGCTTTACAGGGGAACCAAGAGAAGGTCTCACTACTTATATTCAAAAGGGAGGGAGAGCTTTGTATTTTCTAGAGATTTCTGCTCCTTCCCAGGGACCACTTTATACGGACACTAGCAGTTCACATCCAAGAAAGCAGTTTAGAAAGCTCCTACCAACCCTGTATGCCCCCCGCCGCCCTCCCCACAAGGGACCGATGTTTACATATTTAATAAATACAAAGTTCTGAATTTCAGTACCATCCAGCAGTGTTGAAAGCCCAATCGATTACTGTTGTGCTGGAGCATGAGATTACTAAACACCGTCTGTTGCACCAAACTAACTACAGAATAATTTTTTTTTCCTGAACTCAAAACCAAGTCCAAGGTGCCAAGTAAATACCAGCCAGGGGAATCACTTTGTTACTAGGATTTGCACTACCTTTCTAGCTACCGCTGGATACAAGATTTATACCACTAACAAAAAACCCCCTAAAATCACCACCAACAATCCTAACAGCACCGAGTTCCCTAGAATTAAATTAAGGTTATCAGATGCTCACTTCACAAGATACCTCTCCGCTTCCATCTTCAGAGCGGACCAATAGGAGGCAGATTTATGACTTTGGAATTTGGCACATTTTAAAAGGTTTTTTCCCCCCCTACGACATTTGTTCAGCCCAACTGTTTATTTCAGACATTTATGCAAAATCCTGCTTATTCTATGTATGGGTACAGATACTGAAGGACAAAAAAAAAAAAGGTGAGACTGCTGGTAAAGTTCTTACCAACCATCTGCAGTGACATTTGGTTTCAATACAATGGAACAGTTTACTTGCACATGGAGATTTCATCTTAAATCCATCCAAATTCTGCACAGCGCTTTGAAATTCTTTGCTTGAGATGCAAAGCAGAAGAAATCCTAACATATTAGGGCACGGTAGACCAAGGCACAGTGCTGTCCTCAGAGTGAAAGGTTTTGTTTCAGCGTTAGAGCTGGACTAATACATACACGCTCTAAAGTAGCATGGGATAGCTCTTTCAGGCCAGCTCCCTGGATGGTCACCCTTATTCGGTACTTAAGTGCTTCCAAGGACAAATGCCCGCCTGGGGAGTTCATGTGGAACCGCTACTACCTCTAAAAACTCAGTGTACCTCATTTCACAATAGCTTGTTTCAAGACAAGGTGGCTTTGTTTTAAAGTTTGACACTATTTTAGCAGATGCACTGCCCTTTGAGCAGACGGACATTCGTCCCAGTCGGTTCTTTCAGGCCGGTTTCCAGGGGTAGCTAGTGTGCCAAGTAATTTTCCAAGGAACGTGCACTAGAAGGATGTTTAAGGAAAAAAGAACAAAAAACCCCCCCAAAAAAACCAGACGACTACCACTTACATTTCGCAGCACCACCCATATCCCCAGAACCTCGGGTGATGAGGAAGTGGACGGCTCATCAGAATATTCTGCCAGAACTACCTGTATCCTCATGTTGATCTTGCTATTTGGAAACAATGTTAACAATGTTAAACCTTACTTGCAAGAGCCAGCTCCCAAAACAGGCTTCCTTTGCCTTTTGGGGAAGAGTTCAACCATCACCTTTGGGAAGAGTGAATGGTTACAATCCTTCATGCTACTTTATTAAGAGCTTAAACGAAAGGATAAGCAGCTCTCCCAAAAAAAATCTAAAGCCAACAGCAGATCTTCACCAGCCACCAGAAGGAGCTTCAACTCTGGAGCGGGTGGGAAAAAGAAAAAAAAAAAAGCATTTGGCAAGTGAAACAACTTGATCACATCCCTTTTCTTCAAGGAAAATCCTTGCATGCAGTTTGCCCATTATGACCATCACAGGACTCCCAAGCATGGAAACCTAAACCTGCCTGATAGGGCCTGACAAGGGTACAAGTTAGAGTAGATTTAAGTGCAATTCTGCAATATTCACCATGACTGATGTGATGACTCACACCAATGACTGTAAACAAAGGAGGAAGCCAGTGCCGTCTCTAGGAAACAGGAAAGAAAAAAAACCCTCACAGAACAAAATACAGCATGAGCAGCCAGTTACTGCTTCAGCAGAGGCCTTGTAGGGTTTTCCAGCAACATTAGCAGCATTTAACCCACTTTTGTGCAGTTTCATAGGCTTTCAGTATGATCATATACTCTAAAATGTGCTATTGAAAGAATAAATTGGATTCATCCTCCCAGGGAAGGAATCTGATC